TGTACTGCAAGGTAAATGTGAAGCTGGTAATATCTATCATGGTGAGGACAGCCGCATTTTACCACTAAATATCCCAAAAAATTGTCAAAGTCCACTCCCAAGAAAGCTAAACTATTCATCCCCCACTATGTACGAGAAAACAAATCATGTTAACAGTGATCTAAATAATCCTTCAGGTCCTCAGAGTAACAACGCTCTTGCTGATACTAATATATTGAATAATGGGAGAAAAAGAGAACTCTGTTCCAATGCACTGTCAACAAACACACGGTTGTCCTCAATTCCTTTAAAGGTTGATACAGATTATATGCCGGTAATTTCACCCCAAACACTTAAGATAGGGCAGCTATCATCTGGGGGGGACACAGAGACTAATGCCAAAACTCTATGGGTTTTGAAACATAATAAAGAAGTTGCAGTTCAGCTGGCTCCCAAAGAAGACAAAACAGGTGACCAAACCATTTGTAGAACAAATGTGATCAAAGATGCAAAGGAAGCCATCAGTATGGCTGGAAATATAGCTCAATCAGCAAACCTTTTAGATAGCAACAGCAACCATATACCAGATGCCAGTATATTGAGACAGAAAGAAATTGACCAGAGAGCTTTCAAACTAGCCTCTGAAAGTAGAGTGGATAGTTTGGTAACAGGAAACAACTATGCTTTATTGAAAAATGAACCATGTCATGTAATACCGGTTGGTAAATGCAATGTACACAAAGAACCTCCACCAGTGCCAAAGAGACATTTTTCTAAGTCAGATGCACTGCTTTGCTTGTCTGTAGGTAAGCAGCAAATGCATGCTGACAAGGTTTCTAAAGATGATTTGCTAATTGCAAAACTAGATTTACAAACTGAAGAATGTGAATCTGCCCAGGAACAGGGGAAACATAAACAGGTATTTTCATCTAGACTGAACGATTTTATCAAACATGAAAAACAATCACTGACAAGCAATGAGCGAGCAAACTACAAGGAAACCTATCTGAAAATGAAAGCAAAAATGGAGACAGATGAAGAAATGGAGTCAATAGCACGTTTAAGAAATAGTGAGTATATTTCTAATGATTTTCAGGCTTTAAAAGAGCTGGAAAGAGCACACCTTAATGATTGCAAGCTTGAGAACATGAGGAGCAGACTAGAGATTTTTAGAATAGAGAAAGACGCAAAGGCTAAAAACAATTTAATTTCTAGGAAGCTTCGAAATATAAAGAAAGGTATGCTATCTGTGAGAGGAAACGGGTCAACAAAGAAAAACATATTTGTTGCGAAGGAGCACGGCAAGCAGGATGTCTTTGTGAACCAAAACAGAAATTTAATTGCGATAAAGGCAATTCTAAATTATGACTGCGAGGAACTTGAGGAGGTTAGAGCAGAGCGAGAAAATAGATGTAAATTTACAGAGCAGGGTGAAATTACAACAGCTGGAGACAACTTTATTGAAAAAAGTGGTGAAACTTGGTCACAGGAAGGTAGAAAAGACCATAAAAACTGTATGTTTAAACCAACTGAAAAAAAGAATGACAGTACTTTTCCACACAAGGAGAAAAACCTTAAACAAAGATTTGGTGACTTGAAAAAAAATACAACACTACCTGGACCACCTGAGAAAGACAGATTAGGTAATAAGGAAGCAGTGCCGGACATTGACACAGAGGGTAATAAGCAAAGTTTAATCTTAAACATTAAAGGTGAAGGCATGATAAAAAACTTAGATAATTATCATAGAGAGACAAAATTACCAGAAACAGCAGGATATGTGTGTAACAACAGGGAGAAATACTTGACAAATGAAAGGGATGAAGAATGGATTGATGCTCCTCTTGTTGCACCAAGAACCAAAAAAGTGGGCAGAAGGGAAAAAGGGAATCCAAATTTTGGAAGCAGTGAAGAGCAATTATCTAGAATCAGCACAGGTCCTGAAATTAATGTAAGTGGGGATGTTAACAAAGCTCTACTTTCCCAGCATGAAACATTTGATAAAGAATGGCAAGATGAGGTGAAATATACCAGTTTAAAACAAAGTTCAGAAACAGATATGTTTACGTTTGGGTTGGGGAACAAGTTAATGATAAACACAAGTCTGAAAATAGAAGCCACATCTGAAGGTCATGCTAAACCTCAGGAAATGTACGAGTCGGAAAGAAAAGCCTCTTTAAAACCAGACAGTATTACTGAGCAAAATGACAATATAAACAAGAAAAAAAAAACACAACATGAACATTTTAAATTAACTAATGAAGATATATATACAGATGCAGAAGAACTTGGTAAAATCCCTAGAAACATTGTGTCACCTTTTCTGCTGAAAAAAGATGTTAGAGTTGTAAAGAGCCAACATGATCAAGCTAGCATGTCACCAAAATCCTGCTACTTTACCATGGAAAGTACACTAAATACAACCGCAGAGAATGGTTTAGACTTCTACTTTTTGGGAAACTCACCAACAGAGGTTAAGCAGGTTAATGAACCAGGACAGACTGTATCGCCAAATAATTTGAGAGAAACAGGGGTGGAATGCTGTTTTTTAAGTGGTCAGGAATACAAGCTAAGTAGCCTTAAGCAGCCGTTAAAGTCTACCAAATCGCAACAAGAGCTACCCTTTATGGACAGCCCAGCAAGGTCAAATGGATTAGATTTTGACAAACAGTTACATCAGACAAATAAAAAACAACAGCCATCAATGTCAAATGGATTAGATTTTGACAAACAGTTACAACAGGAAAATGAAAACCGAGTGCCCTCAGTCTCAAATGACCTTTCTACCAACAATATCAGCATTACTACAGTCGACGTCTTTAAAGTGAAAGAGATATCAGCAGGGGAATCACCAACGTATTTGCTTGCATCCTCAAATATTCAAAATGAAGGCTGTTCATTCATCCCACAACAAGAAGAAAGGTTTTGTATGGTGAACCCTTCATCTGAAGGCAGAAAGGGCTTACAAGCTAGCACTGCTGAACCAACTGATGACTCAGCTGAAAATTCTAAAGTTTTTATGGAAAGAAAAAAGACAAAGGATGTTATTGAACCAGTATTTATTTCTAGAAGCAATAATGGCCAAAATGGGCTACCCAAACCTCCAAAAGTCTTACCAAAATCTGAAAAAGCAGTTCAAAAAGCGATTAAACTTACAAACAGAAGGATGAAAAAGGATGAGTCCCAGAGGTTGACGCAAAAATTATCTCAAAGCAGCGGAAAACACAGGGCAGAAGATATGAGGAATAATAAATCAGAGCAGAAAAACAGTGGCAGTGCCAAAACATGCAGTAATAATAAAAAAAAAAATTATGACAATAACCATACTGCAAAACACCATAGCAACGACAGCCATGTTCAGGATGAATGCCATTCAGCCAACCACAATCAAAATGAAGTAGAAACAAACCACAAGAGCTGGAGACAGAGACAGGATTCCAAGGAAGGCAATTACCAAAGAGCATCTGAACCAACCAATCTAACATCAGAAAGACAAATTCACACCACTGACAGTTATGCCAAAGAAAAGCCAGATTGTAAGGATTATAATACTGACAGCATCATTAGTAATGTGCCGGTGTACAAAGTTCATGTCAGTGAGAGGCCTATGTCAAAAAGGCCTTTCAATCGATCACAGAGTATTGATAGATACCTGGGAAGCCAAGAAGAGCATAGGTTTAGCACAAATCTGCCAATCAGTGAGAGACTTGAACCAAGGACTCTGCATATTGAAAACTCAATCAAGCATGATATTCAACAGAGAGGCAGAGCCAAAGAAAAGCCAAACAAAGGCCTACCCCTAAGAAGAAGCCAAAGTACTGATGCATACAACACTAATAGAACACCTCTATACAGACAGTCTAACCACACAGGTCAGTTTTCTTGTCAGTCTAGCATGGACCATGCTGTTCTTACACAGTCTCTCCCTATAACCCAACGAAAGCTCCTTCAGGATCCAGACTCAGGGCAATACTTCTTTGTTGACCTGCCAGTTCAAGTCAAGACAAAAACTTTCCTTGATCCTGCGACAGGAGGCTATATCCAGCTGCCAGTACAACAACCGGATGGTGGTGTTCCTCAAGCACCCAAATTAGAAGTTTTAACTTCTCCACTGGTTGTTTATCATAGTTTTGTACCGGTCCCTTTATCCCCCATGGCTCAGAAAGCCAACATACAAGCATCTCATGTGGAACCAAGAGGATTACAGCATAGACAACAGGAAATGGCAAGACACATTAAAGAGGGACGTCCATATTTGGAGCCTGCTTATAGACAACAAGATTTAATGTTAGCCGAATTTCTGGATACGGAAGAGCTAAACTGACCTGGCTGATGGGCCCTTTGTTTGACCCTTTGTTTTTTTGTTAAGTTTGTTGAATTCCAGGATTTATCCTTGAGATGTTCTGTCTTGGTCAGTGGTGTCAAAAGTTCACACATTTGTTACTTAAGTAGAAGTAGAGATACTGCAGTTTATAAACACTCTGGTAAAAGTTGAAGTATCAACTTGACCTCTTTATTTAAGTAAAAGTGAAAAAGTATGTGCTCCAAAAGCTACTTAAAGTATAGAAGTATAACGTAACCTTAAAAAAAAAACAGCCAGATGCCACTATATGAATTGAAAGCTCAATTTTTCGACTATTTCGAAAAAATTCTTAGAGATAGGTCCAAGGATGAGGTAGGTCCTGTCGGTCTCCCGATACGCTCTCGTCTGTGTCTGACCTTTCAGACATTTCAACATCTTTTTCTGAAACCTACATTGTAGCATGGCATAGACAATTCGCGTTTGCAGTTTGAAGAACACCTGCTTGCTTCTGATGATTTCCTTTAGCTAACCAATTAGTGTTTGGGTTATATGACTCATCCAATTACACTAGTTTTCACTAGATGTGAATGGAGCCAATGATCTGCATTGGATGCGCAATATTAGCTGTATGATCTGAAGCCTCATTTGGAGATTTTAAACAGGCTTTTCAAAAACTTTGATAATTTGCTGCTGTAATATTATAGATTTTTTTAGAATAAAAAGCTAGCAGATGAGCATAATCAAAAAATAACAGAAATACAATTACACAGCATTCAGAGTTGTAAGAAAGCCCACACTGTTTCTGAATAAATACATTATTGTATGAGTTAAGTTCTGTTTCATTTATCTCTCTTTCCTTATAAGTATGAAATGGCCCATGCTCCTGAATGCACCACAGCTATTTGATATTCGCAAATGCGGCATCACACTGGTCTGTGAACGCTATGCTGTGTAGATGCACGTTTGATTTTCCGCTGAAGACAAAGCTTTGCAGTTTCAAAACTCATGTCGGCTATCACTGTTTATTGTTGTGTGTGAAGAGCAAGAGACTACAACAAATAAATCAGCTGTACCTTGGACATTATCTTTGGATTTAATGTTTTTCATAACACCCTTACCTTTGTAAATGAATCTGCCAAATAACCACAATTTTTTCTCACGAGAGGAATATTTAAAAAGTTTTATATCATAATATAACAACAAATAGCTCCATTGGTCATATTTTAATCAGTTTTCCTCATCGATAGTTGTACAGAGCGAGGCGCACTCCCGCGACTGGGGATGCATACCTCGGCAGGGATGCACTTTTCGGCATAACACTGGACCGCGCTCCGTTAATCCCTGACCTCTTCATTAATCCAAAGCGAGTAACAAGTAACGTTGGTTTTAAAAATGTAGGGAATAGAAAGTAGAGATACTTGTGTGAAAATGTGAGGAGTAGAAGTCAGAAGTAGGAGGAAAAATAAGTAATGGAGTGAAGTATAGATACCTAAAAGGTGTACTAAAGTACAGTAACGAAGTATTTGTACTTCAATACTTGGTTAAACTGTTCTCTTCAATAGGTTTGCTAAATTATTTAAAATTACCAGGAGAAAAAAAAATGTATGTGAAAACACCACAAGAATAAGCCTTGCAAATGAGTTAAGAGGACATTTGGAGTACAGCCTATTGGGATGATTGATGCTGTATGCGGCTGTAAAACTATAAACTGGTGTTAATATGAACACATCTAAGAATTTAAAAAGACATAAGATTAATGTAAATAATATATTTCAGTTTAAACAAAGTATGCTTAAATGTATTTTTTTGTGAATGATGATGGCCTATATAAATATGAAAGTAGTAGAATGAATCTTTACTACTTTTTAGTTATTTGGGGTTTTTGTTTCTTATGTGGTAATTGCAGTACTTTTCAGAAACTCTCCTGATAAGTTAAAACCCTTTTCCATTTAAAATACTTGAACCTATTTAGCTATTATGTTAAAAGTTATAAGAAAATACAAGTGTAATGAGGGTATACTATTGATTTTGATTGTATTAAAATAAAAAGACTTTTGGCATGTGTTTAATTAAGCATCTGCTTAATGTTTCTCAAAATTAAAAAATTCTAGCTTTTATTTGAAAAGCTTAAATTGGTAGCATTGCATTTACATTTTTTTTCTTTGTTCAGGTGTTTCAGCATATGTGATTCACATTTTGGCTTGTTGATTTTTTAAGCTTAAGTCAAGCAGAGCTGTCTCGTGTCTGTGATCTATTCTATATAAATAAACAACTATTTTCAGCAAAAAACACCAACTTTTGTTATTTCACCCTTAACGCTTTTATTTATTGTTAAAAATTAGTTTTTTTTTGTTTGATTTTTTGTTTTGTTGTTGTAAAGTTGACTAGTTTTTCAGTTTCAAAACGCCAAAGTAGCCTTTACTCTGAGTTAAGTTACTACTGCAAGTTACTCCTTAAACCATCTTGGATTCTTGCAGGATTTGTGGTCTTGTGAGCTAAGACTGAACTCCAAGACAGGGTTATGGACCTTTCAAATAGCAAATAATCTGTGGTGCAGTTCAATGCAATTCAATAAAAAAATACTGATCCTAAAGCAGGGGTGTCAAACTGGTTCCAGAAAGGGCCGTGTGGTGGCAGGTATTTTTTCCAACCAATGTACATGTACATGTTCATCACGGTACAACAGTAAAGTTAGTTTTCATTGCTTCCCTGTGGATAGTGTAGTACGCCGGCATTGGCTAAGCAAAATTCGGAGGCAAGATTTCAGTCCCTGTAGAGAGACACGGGTATGCAGTCGACATTTCCTGCATAATGATCTGTTAGAGACACCAAGGGGAAAGAGGTGCTTAAAAAAGGGTGCTTTTCCCGTTTTATTTGAATGGAATAACTACTCTTTGCCCGTGCCAAGACCCAGTGTGTGGGAACGTAGACCCAGGGAGGAAGAGGCCAAAAGCCCCGCTGCTGCAGCGCCGACTGTGGACTGTTCGGAGATGGTGTTTGTGGCTCCTGAACACGATTGCTGTGTTTCACCTGCAAGTGGAGTTATGATCAACAAGCTAGTGATGCAAAACAAGGCCCTACAAAAACAAGTTCAGATGTTGCAGCGTGAAGTTCAGCGGCTGCAACTGCGCACCCTTTTCTGTCTGGAACGTTTTAAATGCTCAGACGACGACATTCGGCATTATACCAGGTTAGTATTTGTTATTAATTTTGTTGTTCGTCTTTATGCTACATGCACTGTATAAACTATAATTTATTTATTGCTTTACCGGTGCAGTAAATACAGAAATATTATCAAACGGGCGCGCATCACAGAGTTTTCGCTCGTTAACACTCTATTGTTTACATGACAACTTGTTAAAATTAAATGGGGCAGTGATATTAAATTGGGATTTAAATTATCCACATTGCTTTAGAACAGATCTCTGCGTTATTCAGTTTAACATTGGGTTTACAGTTGGAGATAATGACAACAATTATGCAGTATTTGTTATATATATTTTTTTCTAAAACCATATCAACAGGTTTGCCTCATATCGACATTTCCAGTATTTTTGGAAGCTGGTGGAGCCTGCTGTGATTACAAAGATGATCCGTGTCACCAACACCAAGTCCTCAACAGCTACCTCAGAAAGATTTCCCACATCCACGGTATGAATCTATGACAGTCATATATTTATCTCTCTCTCTCTCTCTCTCTCTATATATATATATATATATATATATATATATATATATATATATATATATATATATATACTGTAGATCTGCTGCCAAACACCATCAGACCTCATGTTGCAGAGTGAGGTGTTTTCAACATACAAATCCCACTCCACACTGAAGGCCATGATTGGCATAGCACCTCATGGTGCCATCACATTTGTCTCTGCTCTTTACGCTGGATCAATGAATGATCGCGAGATCTTCAAACAATCTGGCATCATCAGTGTACTAGAGCCTGACATGGCGATAATGGTTGACAGGGGATTTCTAGTTGACAATTTGGCCCCCTGCAAGGTCTACAGACCACCTTTCCGCTCCGGGAAAAGGCAGATGAACCCACATGATGTACTTCAGACATGTCCCCAGAACATTGCTGGTTTGAGGATCCATGTAGAGCGCTGCATCTGGAGAGTGAAGGAGAACAAATTTTTTGATGGCGTTATCCCACTGGCTGCATGTGGGATCATTGATGAACTGTTCAATGTGGCTTGTTACCTGGTAAATTACCAAAATTGGCCGCTTGTGAAGGCTTGGGCAACTTGCTAAAATATCTAGTTTCACAGTTCTTTGACCTGGTTTAGTCCTCTTTTAGACTATTTTAATCCTTTTTTAGTTAGCTTAGGCGATTTTACACAAACTAATGTAGTTGTGAAATTATTAAAATGTGAACATAATGAACGTTCCCCTGTTTCGTGTTCATTGCCCCCTAGTGACTGAATTGAGAATTGTGGTTATTTCTGAAACACTCATAACTTCTCACAGGAATGAGCTAGTCACCTCAATAATTTGAGATGTTTTTGTTTTTTTTTTCCCCTCACAGGATACTGTTTTTTAAAGTACTTGTTTTTCCCTTGTAAAGTTTGCTACTTGTTTGTGAAGGCCACAAATAAAATATTTTATAAAACAAATATTTTTTAATCACTGTTTCCTTTAAAACATTTTTTTGGGGGAAATTTATATCAATAAACAAACTGGAATACTCAAACAACAAACTTTAATTGTGCTATGAAAGCTACTTAATCCACAGCATGGCATATGGTGGAAAGCTTTCAGCAGCTTGGTGACTTTACAAGATGGAATATTCATACATTGTTGAACTAAGAACATTTAAGAATTTTGTTATTTCCATTTAGGATTAAAGTCAAACACATTAAGAGACATTGTTATGGATTCAAACATGTTACCCGCCATGTGTTCTATTGTGCTTTCTTTCCACTTTCAGATCTGAAACTTTTTCCAAGAGTTTGCCTGTGAAGGACAAGTTTTCCAAAAATATCGACACAGGAAGGCACTGTAAATTCGATATCAGTGTTTCAGCAGTTTTAGATGGAGCCATACCTGGATTTAAGTGGAATGGAAGTTAAATGGGAAGTTTTCTGATGATTTTGGAAATAATGAAGAGGCAACTGATTTGGGTGGCCCATGGAGGGAATCTTTACGTTTACTCATTGAAGCCTAGTCCATGTCTCCAATGTTTGAAGGCCCAGATGAATGCAAACATTTAGCTATGAACGGTCCAGGTTTTTTTTGGATTGTCATTTTCAAGTATTGACTGTCCAAATGTCTATCTTTTTAAATCATATTTTTACAAAAGATATTTTTGCAATACAGCACCCAGGCAGGACAGATACTCTAAGGCTGGAAGAGCAATCGCTGTTAGCCTTGTACATGAAGGTCCAGCTCCACTGTTCTTTTATCTAGTTCTTTTTGCTAGCTTGGTTGGAGGTCCAAATGCAGTTTACCCTACTCTAAAGGATATACAGATGCTGACCTTCAGGAAAAAATGAAACGGGTAATAGTTCACTCACTAAATAATTTATGTTTAATTGTACATATTACTTAAGGAAAATATTAATTGTAATTAATACTGTGTGACATTTTTCTAATATATTTTTCAAAGTAAACTACCATTATGTTGTCCCTATTTATTTTGTCTGTTTGTTGTTATGTTAGACTTTAAAAGGTCTCTGAAAGTTCTACCCTGGAGGAGCTTCCAAGAGCCAGAGATCCTCTTTTAGACTACTTGACTAGTTTAGGTTGCGTAAGACCCTTAAGAGCACAATCTGCTTATATTTCATGTGGTTTGCCAGGTTCAAGGCCCCTTCCAGAGGTTAATTCTTTCTAATATTTCCTTAAATACTTGGTGCTTAGTTCATTAGTAAGAGAGCTCTATTAACTTTTTACAGGTTTGCAGAAGGTCTGACGACACAGGAGTATTGCTGTTTGGATGCTGTCAAACAACATCCAAACCGTTTTCGCTCTTTGTTGTATCTTTAACCACAGCAATTACTTGCTGACATGATGGATGACCTTTTTACACTTCAGCATGTTTCCAAAGGAAGTAACAGGAGGAAAATAGAAAATACAGTCATTCCTTTGTGGAGATATTATTTGTAGGATGCAGAAGGTATTTAACACAGTTCTTCTTCATCTATATGTTATATTATCAAGCAGGGGTGTCAGACTGGTTTTGATTTTGAGCCACTTGAATCATGAATAAAATCGAAGGGGCAGTTTTGCCAGATTATTTCAATAAAACCCATTAAACTGTTTGAAAATATTACATAAATAGCTGTGTCTGCATTCGATGATGGTAGCAAGCTACATTGTAGCCACAGCTGCCCTGGAGCTCACTGACAGAAGCGAGGCTGCCGTACACTGGCGCCACCGGGCCCTCTGACCACCATCAGTAGAAAATGCAGGTGAAGTGTCTTGCCCAAGGACACAACGACACTGACAAACCGTAAATCCTTCGATTGGAGGGCAAACTCCTACATCCGACGCCACTGTCGGCCTTTTATTTGGTTTATCTGTGGAAGGTGGGGAAGCATCTCAGGTAGCCATAGAATCTGAACGGGGTTTAGAACGCTTTGATCCAGTTGAACTTTCAGAGTTAGCAAAACTATTCTTTTCAACTAAGCCTTCAACACTGGAAAAAATCTAAATCTAGATAAGTAATTTTTTCTTAAAATAAGTGCGTTTTGTCTTGAATTGAGAAGGTAAAAGAGAGATTTTGCCAATGGAACAACAATTTTCATTTAAAATCAGAAAATGCAATGGCATTTTCTGATTTCAAGTGCATTTTATCTAAATATCTTATTTTAAGAGTAGGCCCCTGTAACAGGGACATCAATTTTCGACTTGATGTCCCTGTTAAAGGGATATTTACCAAAGGCTTTTAAGGTTGCTGTCAGTAAACCTTTACTTAAGAAACCATCGCTTGACCTCAGATGACTTGGTCAATTATAGACCTATATACACTAAGGCCTAACAACGCTCAGCTGTAGAGGTGGTCAGCAGCACCAAATTCCTTGGGGTGCCCATCAGACAACCTCACCTGGACTATGAACACCTGCTCACTGGTCAAAAGGGCACAGAAGCTCTTCAACTTTCTCTGTTCCCATGCATAGAGATGTCTATATCTACAGTTGATTTATTAAAAATGCTTTTCAGTAAAAGTCAACAGCAATAACTTCAATAACAAACGATAATTTTATTCAAAATGTATTTATTAAAAATGCTTAAAAATTCCTGTAATGAATGAATAGCACAATGAAAGAAATAATGTCTCATCTAAACATCCCTCACTTAACAATAAAAGCTAACAATAACTCTCAACTCCCAATAACAGATGATACTCAGCCTCAGCAATTAACAAAATAATGTCTGTTCTGTAGGCTATTGAAAAAAAATAATTAACAAATGAGCTAATTAACAAAAAATACCTCTTGTGTAACAAAAATAACTCAAAATGTACCAAAAAAAAACAAACATATCAATAGACTATCTTTACTTTCGGAGTCCAGGTGGCTTTTCAGATCCCTTGCACCTCCATTGGACACCGAGACATATGTGCCTGCTTTGCACACTGTGCACAAGGCCTCCCATTTGTCTCGATCCGGTCTGAAAGCGGGGAAACTCTTTTGTAAATCGTTGGTAAACATACATTTGTGCTTTTGCATGTTGTTGGCGTACTGACAGCCACGCTATCTATATTCTGATTAAGAACAGGGCTACCCACACTGCAAGTACATCCCGCTGCAGCCTGCGGGAAGGCGGGATTACATCACACGCAGCGTCATGCACAGTGCCCTAGTGCCTGTAAATTTAATGGTCAATTAAGGTAATTTAAAAAAATCAGGACATTTCCTCACTTTCTAAAAAAAACCCGGGACGCCCGGGACAGGACGTGAAATACGGACGTTTGGTCACCCTACTCTATGAATACAAAAATGACAATAAAGTTTGTCTAAGTTTAAGCCTTGTCATGTGCTGGTTTAAGCAGGGGAACCTTGTATGCCATGCATGATTTCAAACCATGACGTGTATTACCATTAGTAACCTTGGAAACAGTGGTCCCAGCTCCTTTCAGGTCATTAACCAGCTGCTCCCTTGTAGTTCCGGGCTGATTTCTCACCTTTGTTAGATCATTGAGACCCCACAAGGTGAGATCTTGCATGGAGCCCAGTCCAATTGACGGTTGACAGTCATGTTTAGCTTCTTCCATTTTCTAATGATTGCTCCTACAGTGGACCTTTTTTCATCAAGCTGCTTGGCAATTTCCCCGTGGCCCTTTCCAGCCTTGTGGAGGTGTACAATTTTATCTCTAGTGCCTCTGGACAGCTTGGATTTGAGAGTATGTCTCTCACAGTGGACATGCACCTATGATGACAATTTTAGACCCCTCCATGATTTTTAAGTGGTAGAACCTGCAAAATAGCAGGGTGTTAAAAATTATTACCTTTACTGTAATGCACTGTAACAGTCATGATGTGATTCATAATCGAATACCTTTTCCACACGTCACACAGTTATGCAGCTCGTTTTTTCTTTTACTACGTGTTTGCACCTGTCCAACACCGTACTTTTCCTTCTTGTTTCATCTGTTTATTTAACTAAGGCATGAAAGAATCAATTAATTAAACATGAAACATCCTTAGTCAGAGCAGTTTTCCAAGTAGTTTCGACCACTATTGGGCCAAGATATTAACAATAGGCTCCCCTGTTGAATGTTATGCCTAAATAATTTGTATATTTCATAATTAGTTCCTTTGTTTACATTTCATATCACTCATTGTGATTTATGTAAAATTCTATTCCCAGCCCGCTGGGAATTTATGTTTCTGAATACTTTAAGGTTTTTATTGTCCTCCTCTGTAGGGGTGGTAAAACATCTTATTTAATCAGATATTATTCAGCTGTTATATACTGTTTATGACACACAGTCCTACTAACTGTGTGTTAGAACAATAGATGAAAGAGTGATTCGAGCACTAATCATGGTCAAACAGTTATTTCTGCACATACATGGAATAAATTCACCACAACTTCTGTTCAAAATATAAGATTTTATTAACAAAAATCATTCATCTCCAAGTCGAACATATTTCAGTTCAACACTCTCAAGACTAGTAAAACTCAACTAAACTAAACTAACTACTATGTACAAAGAGGAAGGGGAAAACGGTTGAAAAACATATTACAGTTTATGATGGATTTTGTGTTTGAAACCAAAGTGTATCTGGAAGAATTAGGGATCTGATCAAATTAGCTTTTCAGTAATTTTAAAGAAATTGGAATGTTTTCAGACCAATTCACAATGCAAATCCATGAGGTGAATAAAACATTATTTGGCCAAATAATGTCCTATTAAATGATTTGCTTAATCAAGAACCAATAACCTTTAGCTAAATGATTCTTTACCCTCTTTGAAATAGCTAGCAGCGAATAAATCATCAGGATTCCACTAAATGACTCTTGGTCATACTTGGTAATGGAAATGTAATGAGCATCTGAGGAACACGTGAACACTAATGTTATATCAGTGTTTAAATCCTTAGTGAATAATTGTCTAAGCTTTAGCAACAGCTCAACACATATTCCTGTAGCATAGCGTAGCATGCAGTCCATTCTTTAGCATCAATTAGCGTTGTCTTTACTCGGCAGTAAACACACGATATGATTAGCATCATCAAAAGACACATTGCTTGTTCTGTCCCTAATCATGCCAGACCTGCAAACCTTTTTTCATGTCCGTTTGGAAAGCTTGAGTTTCATCCAGTTTTGCAGCTCTGCAGTCAGGGGCTCTTTGTCTGAGTCTCACAGCCAGGGCATGGTCCTCATCCAGTTTGGCTCTAAAAGTTCTGAAACTCAAGAGAAATATGTTGCAAAAGGTCTGTTTGCAGCAGTCCGGTTCTGAAAGGTTCTGACTTATTCTTGATGGTTCTGGGGATCTGGTTCCCCTGGGGCCCGCATCTCCACTGTGGGCCACAGTGGGCCCCAGCTTTGAGCGCAGGAGCAGAAGGAGGCAAAAGAGAAAGAGGCTGGAGCAGAAGGAGGCAAAAGAGAGAGAATCCTGCGTGCTCTGTGGTTTTGTTCTGTCCTCACAGAGGGGGGTAGGTTTTCACACCTCTGTGACTTCCATGTGACTTGCCTGTGGCTGAAAAAAGGGGGGGCTGCAGAAGTCCCCCAGCTGTTATTCACCAAAGCTGCATTTTCCTCCTCTGGTCATCCTGTCAAGATGAAATATGGACACTGGTTCCCAATGTCCAAAAAGTATGATCATGGCATATGGCACAACACACTTTACATTGAAGTGTGATCATATTTCGGATGCTGAATAATTCTTACTTGTGATAAATACGCAGAAACATCCTTGTTGTTTTTTTTTTTTAATACATGGTGGAGATTATAACATCAATATAATATGATTGCAAGAGACAAATTCATCCTTTAGACAAATGATTAAAAGGTTTTGAAACTCAATATACTAGTGCTTTATTAATAACAAAGTGAAAATAAATGTTGCAATAACTCATAGGTTATTTTTTATCCCAGGGCTGTAAGTGTAGATAGCTGAAGGCAGTTACTTGCACAAGGCCAGCCAGCTATGGCTACAATGTATCTTGTCACCATCAGTGTGAGAGTATGTGCATGAATGGGTGAATGACTGAATGTAGTGTAAAGTGCTCTATACAGGCCATTGACCATTTGTACGTCTAAAAAAATAAAAACTCACAAGTGAAGCAGATACATCAGTGGGTTTTGGGACTTAAAGACGCCAGCTGATTTGTAATTTATTTCAACATTAGGAACAACTTAATTTCAGTATTGAATATGCATATTCATTTTAGACTCCTATCCATCTTCTTTGGCTTATCCGTGGGGTCATGGTTAGCCAAAGCAGTCTACGAGCAAAAGGCAGAATACACCCTGGTCAGGCCGCAAAAGTATTACAGAGCAAGACATAGAAATACAACAATGCACTCACACCTATGTCCAATTTAGAGATGACAATTAACCTAACAGTCATGGTTTTGGACATTAAAGGAAACCAGGTACCAGAGAGAACCCCTGCATGCACTGGAAGGGCATGCAATCTTTGAGCACAGAGACCCTAGGCTAGGAATCAAACCCATGACATTCTTTCTGCAAAGAAACAGTGCTACAAAGTGCATCAGAATGTATTCCACTTTGTTTTTAACATTCTGATTAAATAATAATTTAGAAGAAACCATTAAAAGTGTGCTAAAGTTCAGGTTTTCTTAATATACTGTAGATATCATTTTATATATATATTTCAAAAGCTATTCTCCTTGACTCTCTGTCCTGGTGGGCAAAATTTTAACTGCTGGAGAACTGAGATCAGGGACCCTAAGTGGCCCACAGGCTGCATTTTGAGCGAAACTAATAAAGCTTACACACTCCTGTTTGCGTCTTCTTTCATCACTATAAAGTTCAGATTGAAAATTTGGAGACAAAAACAAACTCATCACTTTGTGGCTTTAAGCTTCCATTGGTCAAACACCAGCTTAGCAGACACTGCATCTTCAACTCCCATTCCTATTAATGTAATACAAACATAAAAAGTGTCACAGGGATGATTAAAAGCTGAAACATAGTTAAACCTCGTTATTTACTCAGTCTAACTATATCAGCCTACATACCCAGGGACTTGAAAACAGTTGTCTTCTCCCTTTGAGCAGATTTTGTTCCATTTATAACATCTCCAAGTTCTGCAAAAACCTCTGCCTGAAAACCAGAATTTAACGATCTTACATTTTTCTGTTAATAAATCAATGTATTTAAAATGCCAGGCTAAATATCGTTTTAAAAATGACTTACCCCAGAAAGAAGGACATCACCAGACTCTGACAATGCCCCCTCTCTGCTGTCCACATACACCACAGCAGCCTTCATTAACACGTCGTCTAGCTCTCGCCAGTCTGGTCTGCAGGCTCCCACAGCTGTTACACAGGGTTATACACAAGAGTCAAACCTTAGCCTTTGTTTTGTATTGTTAGCTAACATTTAAATAGACTATTGGGTTTAATATAATTGAGAATAAACTCAGCAGATTTCATTAGTGTATCTGACTAAACCATGTTTTACTTTGTGTGTTCTAAATCTGACTATGACATTGACAACTGTGGAATATATGCACTATTGCTCTAGACCCGCGGTTCTCAAAGTGTGTGGCGCGACCCACTGGTGGGGAATTGAGACGTGACAGGTGGGGCGCGCCAAGTTCCGGTGTGTGTGTGTGTGTGTGTGTGTGTGTGTGTGTGTGTGTGTGTGTGTGACTATAAATGTAGAACGTGTGAGAGCAAACTGTCCTTATAGCTGTATGTTGCCGCTTTTTAGACCAATCAAACCCACAAAGTAATCATTACTAGCCTACATGCAGTCTAATTAAAAGAACATTAGATATGAGAAAAATTTCACCTGGAACTGAAGTGCCAAAATAATGATTGACGTGACGTCGGCATATTATTTGTAACAGAATAAACTTTCGCGCCCCAGTGTTGCCAACTCAGCGACTTTGTCGCTATATTTCAGACCCCTCCAGCGACTCTTTTTCAAAAAAACTAATCTAGCGCCTTTTGGAGACTCTTACGTGAAAGCACGTATCGTTCCTTTTCTTGTCCTCCAGCGGCAGGTGCTGCCGTGGGGCGCCTCTCCCGTCCCAACCCCGTTCTCCCCCGCTATTGCAGGAGTCCCTATCAGCGCTGCAGTCAGAGCAGAGACACAGCATGTTTAACTTTTGCGTCCAGACTGCAAATAAAGCGCACATGCGCCGGGATTGACGGCGCAGGTTGATCATAAATAACTGAATTTGAAATATTTTATCTTAAATAAATAACGGCGTTTGATTCACACAGCCACATGTTCATGTTTCTGGTTAGGAGTGGAGAGCGAGTATCCACTCATCGGGCAGAGAGCTGTGTGCATTCTTCTTCCCTTTGCCACATCATATCTCTGTGAGATGGGCTTTTCAGCTGCTGCTTCAATGAAAACAAAATACAGATCTCAGCAGAACATTGAGCATGACTTGAGAGTGGCAGTATCAAGCCTGCAACCCCGTTTTGAGAAACTGCAATGCAAAACAGGCTCATTGCAGCCACTAATGCAGGGATAAATAGACCTGTCTTGCCAGATGGATTTCACTTCTTTTCTTTTATTAACAGATTGCAGAGTGGCACTTTAATTTTTTCTATCTTTGAGCTTGATACAAATTTTGACACAGCTGCATTTTTATTTTCTTTATTTTTGAGCTTGCTGTTATTTGATGTAGATTTGTATTTAGATACTACTTGTTACTTCAATAAAATTGGAACATTTTAAGATTGTTGCATATTTCATTAGCATTGTGTTGGGGCCAGGGCCGGTTCTAGCCCTTTGGTTGCCCTAGGCGAGATTGAGTTTTGCGCCCCCCCCCCCTCCTCACTCACTTTTGCCGTGCAAAATACCAGTACTGTTTTCAGCATCTGTTTAGTGCTTCATTGAGTTGTGTTTACAGTTCCACAAAGAGTGTTGTGCGGTGAATTGTGCCTACAGTTGTGCAAAGTGTGTGTTACAAAACTGCAGAGCTCAGTGAGTGGATTTGCTATAAGTATTAATAGTTTTAGAAATTGTGCTATAAGAATCAAGGTTGTGTTTAAGCATTCAGAAAAAACTGTAACTTAGCATGGAGTGATGCATAGACAAATACCAGAATAGGCTTCAGTACCTTTTCTTTTTTATTATTTTAAATAATTTATTACACACTCAAAGTAAGACTGTGCAAAAATACTTTTAACCATCTGTAAGGACACTTACAAAATTGATGCAGCATTAAAATTTGACTCGTCTGGACTTCCTAATTGCAAATTCGTTGATGGTATCATCAAATGAGATTTTATTTGAGACCTCTTGGTTGATGCTCATCAGTGCAAGCCCATTGAGGCGTTCCTGACTCATCGTTGACCTCAGGTAGGTCTTAAGTAGTTTTATTTAGAGAAGCTTCTTTCAGCAGACGCTACTGTCACAGGTAGTGTGACAGCAATTCTTAGGGCCACCCACATATTTGGAAAAACTTCTTCAAGTTTCTTCTCCTTCAAGTAAGTCAGAATTTCCATTGTCGTCATGCCAGCTTTTGGCAACACTGGGAAATTTTTTCAACTCAAGTGCCAGTTCCCTCCCGTCAATATCTTTATGGTCACCATGGCTCAAAGTGTTGCTGAGGGTTTCACACTCCTTTGCGAGTTTTTCCTCTGGCAAATTCTGAGAGTTAACCAACACTCCAAACTTCTCCTCAACATCACCTAAGAGTTTGAAGCGTTCTTGCAGTGATGTAATTGACACATCAACAATGACATTGAAAAAGGAAATTTCCAATTTCTTTAGCGCATCTCCCTCTGGCTCATCAGGGGATTCATAAGAGAACTGTCTTTTGGTTTTTCTCAGCCTCTTCTGCTTTAGGACAGTGTCCACATTCATCTCCTCACAGAGATCTCTTGCAGATAGCTGAGCAGAAGCGAACCCGGTGCTTCTGTAGCTGACCAGAGAGGCTTCAGTTGTTTTCAGGAGATTCAGAGCCACATCCAGTTGCATAGAGATTGACTGCAATGCTTTGCTGACATGATGAATTTTGGCCAGCATGTCATACCACACAACGCTACAAATGGAGAAGCGGTATGACCCAACCTCTTCAGCCAAAGTCTGTGCCTCAGTTTGAATCATGGAATCAGTGGCTTTGTCCCTGATCTCAAGAAGGGCATCCCTCACCTCCGCTGTCTGGAATCTCACAGCCTGTACACTGTTAATGCGACTCTCCCATCTTGTGTCTGACCAGGATTTCACAGTTGTTTTGACATGGTGCTTTAGGATGGTCCACCTTTGAGTGGAGGCAGAGAATAGTGTAAAAATTCTCTGTAGGTAGCCAAAATAGTTCATTGCATCTGTGGAGCTTTTTGCTGCATCAGCAACAACAAGATTTAAAGTATGTGCTCCGCATGGGACAAATAAAGCCCTGGGATTTTGTTGCAGAAGTCTGGCTTGGACACCTTTTGACTTTGCCTTCATGTTGGTGCCGTTGTCGTAAGACTGTCCCCTGCAATCTTCAAAGGGAAGGTTGAATTCTTCTAGTCTCCTCAGAATAAGGTTGGAGAGGCTTTCTCCTGTGGATGACTCCACCTGAAGGAACCCCATGAAATGTTCTTTTACTGTAGGGGTGTCTGTGTCATCTACTGAAACCATTCTAACTATAACAGATAACTGTTCTATGTGGCTCATGTCTGGGGTGCAATCCAAAATAATTGAATAATATTTGGCTTGCTTTATCTCCTTTAACATATATTGTAAAACTTTTTCTCCAATGCAACCAATTAGTTCATTTTGAGTATCCTTTGATAGGTATGTTGTATGTCTGTGTCCTTCCTCCACATCAGCAACATGCTGTTTGAGGATAGAGTCAAACTTGGCCATGAGCTCAACTTCCTTAAGAAAGTTTCCGTTATTTGGCTGGTATAGCTTGTCTGAGTCCCCCCGCAGGGGAATATTTCGCTCGGCCAAAGACTGTATTATGGCTACCAACCTGGTCAGGACTTCACGCCACTTCCTCCTTTCAGCTTGAAGGAGTGTCATTTCTATTTGGTCAATTGTCTGGCCCTGTTCAAGTCGAGTCTCCAGTTCCTTCTATGCGGTCATGTGCTCCAAATGCTCTGGACTGTGCTCGTGGCTTTTCAGGAGCTCACTACAATTCTTCCAGTCATTTAGGCCACTACTAATGAGGTTGTAATTCTTCTGTGAAAAGAGCTTGCAGCAGAAGCAATACAGAGTATTGTGTTTCCTTGAATATACAAGCCAGCTTCTCTTGATTTTCTCCCCATTTACTAATTTCCTGTAGAAGTGGTTGTGGTGGCAGCTTCTCCCATCATGTCTTTTTGGAAATGTAAAGTCTAGACTGGTCTGATATGGTCCTCTGCTATCTAACTCTGTCCTTACTGCATCACAGAGGGCTGGCCAGTCAGCAGGGTCTACAGGTTCTCCCTGGATATCAGGAATTGTGGAGGGTGAGGTGTCTGCAGGCGGCAGTGTAGTAGCAGAGCATGTTGTGTTTGATGTTCCTCCACCTAAAAGCAAATGCATACAAGCAAAATGGATGTTAATGTTTTCATAGGGGTACACTACAATATACTAAAATGTACATTATTACTATGCTGTGCTTCAGCTATACATTACTATACTATAGACCAGCATATAGAATATAATAGTAGATCTGTGTTTCACTGGTGCCTGGAATGTGGCCCCTTCAGATCAGTGGCCAGATCAGTGGTGTTCAATAAAACTGTAGATGAAGTTACTTTCATAGGGATGGAATGTTATTGTGATTTCCATGTGTTTTCATTTCTAGTATATTTTGTCAGATGGTTGTAGACTTGAATTAGTTATTCAAAGGACTAACTACCTTCAGGCTGTGTGTCCCTGGTCTCAGCTGTCTGTGTTTCACTGGCGCCCAGAGTGCTTGGTGTGGTCCTGGATGTCCCTTCATCTTCATCACCTGTATTCAAGCATATAGCCAGACAAGCGGTATTTAATAAGTGAAATGATCATGAATGTGGTTCTTTAATAAAGAACCACATTGTTTTCTTAACTTCTTTAAGAAAACAAGCTATTGCAATTTGACTTCTTTAAGAAAACAAGCTATTGCAATTTGATACATGCTAAAAATGTTCTATTGTACTTTAAAGTATAGATGTGGCTTGAATAAATACTATTAAAAATAATCTCACCTAATGCAGGCTGTGTGTTGGCCTGTGTGCCACTGGTCCCTGGAGTACTAGTGGATGTCCCTTCTCCTGCAGCTATTAAACACAGAGTTCATCTATGCTGTTTGTTACACAATTGCATTTGGTCATTTCTATGTTCCTACCACATAGTTGCATTGCACAAATTAATTTTATCTGACCATGTAACTTGTAGATAAATTACAATAACTACCACCACCACTATTATTACTATTAGGCTGCTTGAAGTAGTATTAATGTGATGTGATTATAAAAGTAATAATTGCTAATAATAATAATAATAACAATACAAATAACAGCAACAATAGTTGTGTACTTACAAAGCTCAGAGAGAGGCGAACATGAATGATCAGCAGGTGCTGGCCTCTGCAAATATTGTCTGAGTGCATCTAGCAAAAAAAAACAAGAAAACATATACATTTTAGTATATTCCTGAACTGTGCAGAAGGGTGAACAGCACCACTATCACCATTGGTGCCACTAAACACTGAGCATGGAAACAAATTTGAATATTTCAGGCAGTAAAAGCCCCGGTAAGAACCAAACTAGATTTTGTTCAAATCTACACATCTATGGCTACTGAAAAATCTAAGGTTAATTTAGCAAATATTATTTAAGTATTAAAAAACGTTGTTGTTTTAGAATTTGCGAATGAAATGGTTGGTAATTAGCATGTTTACTAAAGCAAACTAGCAAAGTAACGGTGGGTTAGCTAGCAATAGCTAAGTGACTGCAATGAAACATTAGTTGATGCAATTTATTTCGTTTGACACGTTAATGGCTGAGATGAGAAAACTTACCTCTATACTTTGCTTTCTTTTCCTCATCCTCCTTTCTCCGTTTTCGTCCCTGTGCTCCCGATGGTTTAGACCGCTTCATTTTTTTCCAAAAACGATATCAAAGCTTGCTCAATGCAGCTCAATGCCATTAGCTGCATAACGTTACATTAGACTCTAATGTAACGTTATGCAGCTAATGGCCCGCTCGCGGCTCACCCCACACAGACAGGGTCAGGAGCCCTAACGTAACGTTACGGTCACGTCGTTTTTTTTTTTTTTTGTTCACATATTCTATGATGAACAGCCATAACTTCATATATTTTAATGATTATTTGTACATCCCTTTTGAATACTCAATGCAGATAATCACTACAAAATATTTTATTTATATTAGTATCTTCTACCCATTCTCAAGCTAATAATATAGCACATAATTCTGCTGCATATATACTGAGAAAAAAATGATGTCAACATACAAAAAAAATGTTTGAACTGTTAAAAGAAAAAACTTGTCCTACCATTCATCTAATCTCCCGGCCGACGTCCAATCTCCATTCATTGTCCGACTCGCTGTTGTTGTCCGCTGCCTTCTCTTCATCTGAAACATCTGGGTCGAACATGTGAGGCTCCAGACACAAAGATTCTTCCTCCGATACACCAGAATGGTCTCCTGGTAGGAATCGTTCGGTTGAAGTCGAAATTTTGCTTTCAGATTTCTCGTTTTGGCTATAGCATTTAGTGCAGGGGACCGGCATAAACGCTCCCGTTCTGACGTCACGACTTCCGGGTTGGAGGGCGCTTGAAAAGTGACCAGAATCTTTTCCGATTTTCTCTTAAATGTGAAAAAATAAATAAAAAAACTGTGGTATATTTATTTGTTCATATTTTGCTATTTATATATAAGTAAGGTTAAGTCAAACTGACGGACGCTTCATAACCGGTTTAATTCGCTTTTTTTTCTAATTCTATGATTAATGGGAAGTAAGCCTAAGGGCGACGCTAGAGGGCGCCCCCAACACATTTGTCGCCCTAGGCAATTGCCTATCTGGCCTATAGGAATCGCCGGCCCTGGTTGGGGCGATGGGGACAGGCGGGGCTTGAAAATTCCCCCTTGTCCAAAGTGGGGAATGACAGAAAAAGTTTGAGAACCACTGCTCTAGACCGACTGCAGTGTTTTAAACTTTCTTTGGGAGATACACCCCTCTTGGGTCATTAACCATGATATTAATTTTGGACATTTAGGGACCAGTGTCCATGATGATATTAAAGGTCTAGTGGAGGATTTTTGCTAATTAAAAAAAACCTGCCCACTTCACTAAAAAAAAAATGCCCATGCACAACTCTTTCCCCACTTTTAATAGGAATGCCTATTAAAAGCGTATGAGAGCATTCAAAAGCCCATTTCTGCCTGTCCATGCTCTGTTTAAAAGTTGTTCTCATAGCTCATACAAGCTTACTGTGTCTGAACGTCCACCCTAAACCCTAAATTCCTCAATCTCTATATAGAGCAAGGACTACAGATGACGACACTACTTTTTGCTCCCCAATGCCTGCGCCATCCTTGTTAATAGTCACCGCTCTTGGGTGGGGACAGCCTATGGCAGGGGTAACCAATTAAAAATCAGCGGGGTCCGAATAAAGATAATCCTCAACCAGTAAAGGTCCAGAGACATTTTTTATTATAATCTGTTACTTTAAACAAAATTTAACACTGAAATAAAAAGAGGTGTTTATGCATTCATGTTATTGAATTTTTAAATAAAAAATATTTTTTTTAAATTCCATTTTAAATCTAAATTGTTTTTTGAATTAGAGAACAACAATCTTTCACTTTGTTATTAGACAATTTCCTGATTCACATATTTTTCAAAACACCTGAACTGAATCCGCTCCGGTCCGGCCTGGTCAAGATCAAAAAGAACGGCGAGAAGATCCGGTTTGTCAAATGAAAATATAGTAACAACAGTTCGGTAACAAAAAATTAGGGCATAATTCTAATATATTTTAAAAACTAACAGCGTTTATTTAAAAGATTGGATGTACTATTGGTACTTCAAAATACCAGGAAGCAGATTTCTCATCTCCATCAGAAACCACACATATGCTTGATGCTGATAAGGATTTTTTGAATATGTCCTATTAAATTCTGCGTTCATTTCCACATGTTTTTCTCCTGCGAATTTAATGATAATATCCTGCATGTTCTCCTAAAGCTTAGAGGATAAGTCGGAGTGCAACAATACGGAGGCTGTAGGCTTTGCTTTGCACAGGAGGTCTGGAGAGCTGCGGGGTGGAGACGGAGGATGTGGGATTTCAGGGTAACAGGAGAAGCAGCGCAAGTGACGTCTAGACACTGACATCAGACAACATGCGGTAATTTATAAATGTTTTAAATCAGGTTGGGTTCGCATTAGCCAGCAGGTGGGTCCGCTAATCCGTGACGTCTGGCCTATGGGGACAAGCACGTAGAATGGCCTCATGTAAACATATCAGTAGAATGATTGACAATTAGGAGGACCACTTATTTTGATGATCCACCCATAAAAGCAAATTTCTCCACTATATCTTTGATATGATCATTGGGGTATGATTTGCATTTTTCTCTGCAGCCTGCTCTTTATCCCCTCTCAAATTGGAGACTGATCAAAGCCTAAGTGGACTTTGTGGCTAACTTCAGAACCAAGTAGCTGCAAAACAGACCGTTTGCAACATTTCTCTCTGGGTTACAAGAACTTTTCGATGCACAAAGAGACTGGAGGTGTGGGGCATCAAGGGCTGTAACAGTACAATTTTGGTATCAGTACCAACATCTATTTCAGATATTTTCTATACTTTTTTTAAATAATAGAAGAACACAAAAACTACTGACTATATTTGAATTTCAAAAACAAAAATATGTCATGATCTTGGTGCTGATGACTGCCTTGATTACTGATTTCATTCACCTGCCTAGCTTCGCTCAGTTCTCATGACCATTCATCTAATAAACCTGCTTTGGCCTCTATTTAACCAGCCTTCAACCAGTTATCAGTGCCAAATTATTCAAGCCTTTGATGAGAGTTCTCTAGCCAACCTGAGTGTGTCTGATTGCTTGATCCTTATTCGTTCTGCCTCTGAACCTCTGAGCCTGCCTGCCTGACCCCTTTCTGACATTTGTGCCTGACCTGTCCTCTGACTCCTGCAGTGCTATGTGCTATGATTCCAAAGCACTCCTCGACAATGGCTTTGGTTTGGCCCTCTGGATTATCCTGCCTTCCTTCATCTGCTCGGTTCTTATGTCCTGCCAGTCCTCCAACTTCCGGGACTTCAGCGTCTGGGACTCTCTGGGCGTTGCCCACTGTGTCCTATTGTCTGGAATCAACCTTATCCTCTGAGCTCAGACTGATCTTTAAGACCAGGTTCTCCAACGTATCGTTGTCCTCTTCCTGGTCACCTGTAGCCTCTTCTGCTATGCTCCTTTGATCCTTCGCAATTGGCCTATATAGCTAGCCTCAGTCAGCTGTAGCTGCTCCCCACCCTGGTGATGTTTCACCAAAAGATTAGAGCTAATTTTTCATTATATTTGCTCTTATCTTTTGGGAGAAGTTTTCCTTCAAACTTTTTGGTACTCATGAATGAAACATTCACTGAGAGTAATGTCTAAATCTCTACCTCTGTTGTTGCTAAGCAAATGTTTACCCATCCTAAGATGGCAGCAGTCAGTTCGCACTCAGATGTGTGACATCTGGGCAATGCCATCTACAGGCTACATACAGCATATAAAAGTGTTAATCTTTTTTTGGGTGAATATGGACATTTGACCTTTACTATTGCTATCACATATCACCTCACCTGCCACATGAGCTCCTGCTTTGACCCACTGACCAAACAGCACCGGTTCAGTTGATCCAGTTACTGTCACTATAACATCTGCTCCCCTAACAGCCTCCTCTGCTGAGCTGCATCCTTTTACTGGACCTCCGACTGAGCAGACAAACCTCTCAACGCCCTTTTTTGTCCGGCTCCAAACTCGAACCTGAGAAAAGACAGGTAAGCATTTAAAAAAAAAAAACATGCAAGACAAAAAGGGACAGAACATGCTGAAGATCTCTATCTTCAACATGTTCTGTCCCTTTTTGAGAACAACACAACTAAATAGCTTTTAGAAATTAATTGATCATTTAATTTCTTAAAGATTACAGAAATAAAACTGAGTAACAGTTATAAGATGTATGTTAGGTGATCATTTGGATTCACCTAGTTTAAGCAGAACAAAAGTCTTTTTCTTACCAGTACAAACGTACTCTAGCAATGCGCTGCTTAAGGTGGTTGAATGTTGGAATAGCTCTGCTAGCTTTCCTCTCATATTCTTTTTTAAGAGAGCTTGAATTTGTCCATTTTTGGAACAGAGTTTCTTTTTCCTGATGTTTTTCACCTCTGTTGTTGTATGTTGTGAAACTGAAGGGATTTTCACTAATATTTTTGTCCTTTTTGGATATTTATGATTTGTAACCATGGCAAGTTGATTTTTTACACCTGGGAGCAGCTCTTTAACATCAATAAAGCTGCAATAATACCTCAGCCAATACTGCAAGTACCAACTGAGTTGAAAAGGATGCACTGGGGGTGCAGAGCAGGAGACGACAGAGAAAGAAGAAATTTAAACAAATCTTTTCCATCAATCATCATAAGATCTTTAGCAAACAAGTTAAAAGAACTCCAAGTCCTAGCATGGGCCCAGCCAGAACAATCAGGAGTAATGCAGCATTATGTTTTTTACTGAAACGTGGCTGCAGGATCATATCTTGCACTCAAGTGTCTCTCAGCCAGGCTTTCTGACCATATGAGCAGACAGAGATTTAAAGAAGACTGGGAAATTCAAAGGAGGTGGGTTGGCACTGACATCCAGAAGATGTTACTGTGAGATTTGTCACTGCAGCCCAGATAATGAACTGTTGGCAGTTGGTCTTTGGCTATATTATTTGCCCAGAGATTTCAGCAGTAATGTGAAATACTTATTGGTAAAATGTGAGATTTCTTGTGTAACTGATATAAAATTGTACTTAAGTAATGAGAAATACATAACAATGGAAAAGTGACATTTATTTTAACTATTGTAAGTTTAGATGTGTTTAATTAAACATGATTTTATTTGTTATCTCTTTCTACTAAAGAGTTCTGACAAACTACTAAGAGTATATCACATTTTTCTGAACACCAGCAAAGTATTTTCTTAATGCATATGTCTTATGCAATTTACCAATCTAATTTTGCAGAATTATTCATTGATCAACAGGTAATATTTGTACCTCTTTAAAAGAGAAGATTTCAGTAAAGACTTTATAATGACTCAGAGCCTGTTTTCCCGTCCCCAGGATTGTCAGGACCTCTGCTTCGGGAGGCATCAACAGCTGTGCAGCACACAAAGAGACACAAAACTGACTTAAAGATCCTCTAAAACAGAGCAGCTTAATCTATTTAATTAGATCAGGAATAGAGATACCTTAGCAGATATGGCTGAGACAGCTGCAGTCCTCATGTTGGTGATGACCTCCCCATCAATGACCTGGATAGAAATTGCTAATATAAGCGTGAAGCAGTCACAACTGAAGCTAATCTGTTTGTTTGTCTGACCCTGATTTGTAAATAGACCTACATATGCCCCATTTACAGTACCCCTCTGAAACTGACCCGTGCCGAGTTCGGACCGAGCTTGGATCAGTTAACAGTGCTGAGCTTTGTTTCTTACGGCCATTTACACTTCACACTAGCACAGTTCCTCACCTCCTAGTGACGATCTACGGTACTACTAATAGGATTAAAGGAGGGAATCAAGCAAATGAAAATGGTGGCGCCCTTAACATTCAGGAAGATCTGTTTGGTTATAATAGTGATATTTCCTTTCTTGAAGAGAGTCAGGTGAAGAAGGCTGCCTTTGGTCGCACCAGTCTCTTTTGAAGCCATTTTATAAAATGTAGTGCTGAGAAAATATCGATTGTTGTTAACAGTTCTTCTTCTTCTTCATCTTCTTCTTCTGTTTTATGGCAGTTGGCAAGCAACTTACTGATGTGAGTTACAACCAACTACTGGAAGCTAACTGTAAGGAGATGACGGGGTCTGCTCATGCACTTTTTTTGCACTTATTTTTATATATCTTGGTTACTGTGCTCGGACCGCTTTGGGAAGGGTTTAAAAAGGGTGGTGCAGTTGTGCTATTTTAACACCAGAGCCCAGCACTGGGTTGGCTACCCATATAAAACACACATCTATGGGTAGAAAAAAAAAGTGTCATTTCATGGGTGCGGCCATCGGTATGAATGAACAAAATGCAGCATGAATAAAACTTCACATTTCCTTATCTATAAACTCTACATCTTAAAAGTAAATAGATTCAAGAATATCCTGATAACAGTATTGTGAAAACGCTCACACAAAGTCCCGTGAAACTGGGTTTTTATTCTGAAAAGACAAGCTGCTATTTTTTGGGAGGCTGTTGCATTTGCAGATTACTAAAATAAGATTCTTTATGATCAAAATCCCACTCCTAGACTGAACTAGAATAATGTACTTTCTAATTTACAATTTTGCAGCAGAAACTGGGTTTCAGAAAAAAACAAAAATATACTAGTAAGAATTAACTTTTATTTACCTAGAAATTTTTACACATTTAAGTGGCTGTTTTACCAGTTATCAGCTTGACTAAATATGTATATATGACGTGTGAAATACATTTCTTCATAGGGAAAACAATACTGTAGGGGCTAAGCCAACGTTTAAAGCCAATGGAGTATTTGCCGGGGTGAGATGGTAAACAGGAAATGTCCAAACGCTGTTCTTGCAGTTAAAAGCTGGTTTATTCCCACTGTTGCTTGCTTACAAAAACAAAGAATTATACAAACGGCCAGCTGTTGTTGACACAATTTCCGGCCAAGCGTTCAAAACCTTTCTTTTATAGAGTTTGTACATATTGGCTTCTACATACTGGCCCCTAATTGTTAGACATAACAATTCTACAATACACATTTTCAAGCAATGTTTGTTTAAATCAATACCATAAGTTACATTTCATGCAAAAAACTAAATTTGGTAATGGGGTGCTCAAAAACACCACTCATTGTTTGCAACTTTACAGTGCAAAAAAACCTCTTGTCAGGAATAACCTCTAAGACTTTTTCCAAACACCAAGAACCTTGTGGTGCTTAAGAGTCAATGATTATATCAATGTCCCCAATGACCGAGTTTCTTTTAGTTTGAGTCTATTTTTGCCTTTCTTGGGGCAATGATAAGTATTTTGCCACCAGATCTGCTCTATTAAAAAGTCCAGGTGGTAGTGTTGATTTTCCTTTCAGTAGCAGCAAATGATTAGGTATAAGTGGTTCCAAATCCTTTGGGTCTTCTGATGGCTTTGTGATTTGACGATCATTAAGAACGGCTTCAATTTCACTTATAACTGTGCTAAGACCATCCATATCCAATGATTGTTGTAAAACTGAGCTTAGAATGCGTTTTATCAAGCGTATGATACACTCCCAGATGCCACCATGACGAGGTCCTACAGGCGGGTTAAAACTTCATTCTACTCCAGATGGAATGAGTGTCTTTTTAATCTTCTCATGATTTAATGCATCCAAAGCCTCTTTCGGTGCTCTTGCTAAACCTATAAAGTTTGTTCCATTCTTATGTTAACAACTTGACCTCTTCTACTGATGAAGAGACATAGAGCATTTATACAGTCATTGGTAGTTAAAGAATTTGCAACTTGAAAATGTACAGCTCTACTTGCTAAACAGGTAAAAATGACATCATGGCATCATATTGTTCTCCCTCTTTTCACCTCAATGGGTCCAAAAAAATCAACTACAACATTGGTAAATGGAGGTAAATCAGAAGTAATTCTCTGATTTGGAAGGTCTGCCATTGTTTTGGTTTACTGGTCTTGCCTTGGATGTCAGCAAAATTTGCATTCAGAAATTACATTTTTACACAGCAGAGTGTCCTTGTAGAATCCAATATTTCCTCCTTTCCACAGCCAGAGTATGATTGCGTCCACTGTGACCTAGTCTTTCATGAGCGTGGATGAGCTTGGTTATGTGCTGATCTTTGCCAATAATGGGATGTTTCTCTTTCACTGGCATGGTTTCTTTACTCAATCTTCCTCCAACCCATAGAATATTGTCCTCCCAAATTGGATTCAGCCTATGGATAGAACTCTGTTTGCTGATCACGCCCCTGTCAGACAATCTGGCCATTTCCTCTTTGAACTGCTGTTGCTGACAATAGCGTACAATGGCAAACTCCACCTGCGACAGATCTTCTAAATTCAGTGCAGATTTCTCATTCAGGTCATCTTGAGAAAAATTGTTGGTAGTCTTTCTCCTTCTACAACACTAGAGTAGGATTGATTTTACCTTGTTAAACAAAGTGACTGATTTCTTCAGCTTTTGCCAATCAGAAAAGTAACTAATGAATCGATCAGAAGGATTTAATTCATTACAAGATGTGACATTCACAACTGCACTTTTGTGGACATCAGGATCATCAACTTCTAACACAGGATCAAAAGGAAGCTTGTGGCCATTCCGGGTCAGATTTCCATAAAAACTTGGGACCTTCAAACCAGATGTGATGTACATTAAAGTCTGATATTCTCATTCCTGTTGAGGCCGCATTTGCTGGATTTCCCTCTGAGCAGATATGCCTCCATCGGTCTGTGACAGTATACGTCACTTCCGCAAAAGCGCAATTCATTTAGGGTAGTTAGCGCCATTTCTGTGGTGAAGAGACAGCAGCAACAAACAAAAGAAAACTAACAGAGAGCAGACGTGTTCTAGTTGCTTCTTTGGAAATAATGGGACACTGGTGCTGCGTCAAAGGATGCAATAGTAATTCTAAACAGAAAACAGCAGATGGGGCCTGACGGTTTTTCGTATTCCCCACTTGGAAAAAAAATACGGACCGCAGACAGAGGACTTAACAAAGAGGCGTCGGGCTCCGTGGGTCGCTGCTGTAAGAAGGAAAGACATCACGTTTCATAAAATATCTCCTCATGTTCGTGTTTGCTCTCGGCATTTTCACAAAGGTAAGTCCTTAGAAATATACACTAATAGAAATCAACACGCTGAAATGGTTTGCTTATAAAGTTGCAGGAGTTCATGAAAACCTACTGAAACATGCTGTGGAAGAGAAGCGGAAAGTGATGTTTGTTTTATTTCTTTTTTAGACCGCTAAAATTTAATAAATAATGCATTATCTGTATATAATCATTTACACAATCTGCAATACAAATATATTTTTTTTATGAATAAATATATATAAATACAGTGTACATATAAAAAGACTGTACATACCCACTCGTCAGCCAACTCACTGCATTTATTCATCCTGTGTAATCTACTTAAGTTTATTTATTATAATCCTTTGTTCGTCCTGTAAGCTTTTCAGTTTATTTATTTACCTCTGGCCTTACTAGTCCGATGTACTTGTGCTGTTTCGGTATAGCAAATTTCCCCACTGTGGGAAACATAAGCATATCTTATTTTATAACTCATCTAATCTAATGGGCTCTGTTATTAAGGTGCTTTATATAGTGTTTTGAATAGATGTGTAAAACACTCAACCTTTCATCTACTTTGCAGGTCAACCCGCATATGAGATGATGGAAACTGACCCAGACTGGGCTCCATCCCTGCATCTGGGCCACACTGACATCAAACCAACAGACACAGACCGCTCTTTAAGACGTGGTTATCGGGAACAGCTGAAAAAGAATGCCCTGCAAGCAACTGAAACGGGGCTCCATCAGGCTGATGAAATCCTTCAGCCACAGGATGAAGTAACACATGAGGCGACAGAGAACCCTAACCAGCAACAGACTGACACGCAGAAGGCTGCTGAAAACGTTGGCCGGCCAAACACCAAGGATGACACAGAAGTAGGGGTGTGCAAAATAATCGCGATGATGATGCATCGTGATTCTAATTTTCGTGATCTACTGCATCGATTCTTGATGCCAAGAATCGATTATTAATTTAAAAAAATGAATAAATAAAATTGCATGAATGGTTGGCGAACATCAAAAACAAGTGTAATACAACTTCCAGTCCTGTAGATGTCGCTGCAAATGTGTTGACGCACGCTGCCTTGTGTCACAAGCATTTCCGGCTGCGGGATACTGTGCCGAGTCATTCAAAAACAAAACATGGAGGAGAAAATATTGCAATGCATCGCAATAATTCAAGTATCGTGATGCATCGTGATAGAATCGCATCGTGGCCTGTGAATCGTGATTCGCATCGAATCGTGACTTCTTTGGCAATACCCACCCCTACACAGAAGGTGGTCGTCAGGAAGGACAAACAGAATGTAACCTGTGTGTGCTCAGGTGTGCAGAGATGAACCGTCTTTTGGAAGAAAACAGAGAGCTGCAGCGTGAACTTGATGAGCTGCAGATCTCTGATTGCTTCTTTGGAGACAGTAATGAAAAAGTCAAGTACTATACGGGTCTACCAAACTTGGCAACCTTTATGGCTTTGTTTAATTTTCTGCTGCCTCTCATGTCTGCTCAAA